AGCACAGACCTTGTAAAAGTAAAGCATTGTGAAAAGGTATCTCGCCAGGGCTCAGAAACGTGAAAGCAGGTCAAAAGTCAAGTTCTCTATCAACAGGCACATCTAAATCTAAAGCAAAGGGCATTGTCAAAAGACTTACCTGTTCACCAGGAGATGTGTATGTCATGTCTGTTCGGGTAAGAGTGTGTCTGTACGTGCAGGCAGTGTACCTGTTCGTGCAAAGTAAAGTGTCTGTTCAAGCAGTAAATGTGTCTGTTCGTTGAGAGTTGTGCTTGTCCGAAAGGAAAGTCAATAGACACAGTCCCAGTTCTGGTTTGAGTCAAGGGGTCAGTCCAGATCCAGACTTTCAAGTCCAAGTACAGGCCGAGAGGCCACAGCAGCAGTTGAACTTCATTGGGACTCTACTGGGACACATGCAATGCAGGGTCTGGGACAAAGGAAAGGCCGAATTGAGCCAATGCAGACCCAGCGAGGAGTGGCCAGCACTATAAAGGGAGCTGCCTGCCTCATTCCTCGCCAGATCTCCACTGGCTTGAATGCGTGGAAGTGCTGGTGCACTTGTGCGTTAGTCAGTAGGAGTGGCGCTGGAGGAAGGAAGATGCGCTAAGAGGGAAGAAGAAGACTGTGCGCTGGAAGGGATGCAGCCATAGCTGCCCAGCTGGTTAGTAAGTAGAGTAGAAGGGTTAGTACTTAGCTATGAGTAGTATCCAGAGTAGATCCTTGTGAGAACAGTGTGTGCATGCATCATAGGAGGAAGAGATTGAGACGAAGAGTGTTCATTCAAGGTTTGGCTATGGGAGACACTTACCTGAGGTGGTTGTGAACTGCAGAGTTGGCGCTGATGAGTTGTGACCATATTGATGACTAGGAGACAATCTGCAGGGGTAGCGCTGATGCCTTGGAGGGCATATTGATGAGTTGAGCAGAGATTTGTGTTGCGCTGATGAGCGCTGGACTCAGGGTAACTTGGAAACACTTTGTAATCATATTTCTGATAATATAAGCTGCGAGACTCGGTCCTCTTCTTCTCTACCTTTGTCTATGGTTGACACTATTGATCACTGCGTGATGCATGACATGTACACATCTTCATGAGATGGTCCCCAGGACCCATGCACTCGTTTGTTTTCAAAGAAGAGAGCGACACCCCTGCGGACACTCCCCTTCGAAGAGGAGATGCAGACTCGCCTGCAAACCACTTGGAGCGTACTCACACACCACCTACCCTCTCTCTTAAATGCATCTGACCGCAATGACGGCCAAAGCGTGGTGTATATGAACACAATTACAGCTATAAATAAGTAGCCGACACTCCTTTTTTTTTTTTTCTTTTTTTTCTTTCTGAAATGCTTGTTTGTTTTCAAAGAAGAGAGCGACACCCCTGCGGACACTCCCCTTCGAAGAAGAGATGCAGACTCGCCTGCAAACCACTTGGAGCGTACTCACACACCACCTAGCTCTATCTTAAATGCATCTGACCGCAATGACGGCCAAAGTGTGGTGTATATGAACGCAATTACAACCATAAATAAGTAGTAAAAAGTTCTAGTGTGAGGGCATCGCCACACCACTCTCGAAATTTGCAAAATGGGAATGAACTTCCCGCTAGAAGATGGGCAGATGCCCCCGTCACATCTTTGTCTTTTTCACATTTCTCGAGTGGTGTGGCAAGGCCCTGAGTGTGCTCTTAGAGGTTAGATTTGCGTTATCCTCACAAATAGACTAAAAACAGTCACTGATGGGGGTAGGTCTCGGGTAAGGGAGGCAATACCACAAGGACCAATTGATCGTCAGCAGTCAAGATCATCATGCATTCAACCCGAGGGCACGCTCACAACTAGGTAGGAGCTTTTCTACTAAGCTCTGGACGTAAGTACGGAAAGATTCGTCCACATCTAATGCAAATGTGGAAAAAGTGAATGTATCTTGCTGGAGAAGTGGCAAAATACATTTTCCATTTTTTTTTTATTTTTAAGGTTTTTTTTTTTTTTTTCCCTATATTCTTCTCTCAACTCCTGTTTCTTTACCTTCCACTACCTACTTCTAAGACTATCTAGAGGGGACCCCTGCAAGCATAGTTTCCTCTCTCTGTGACAGGGAGATTTCATGTTGCCCCTTGCCCCTAATGGTTAGGGTATAGGGTTGGGGCCGCCAGTGGGGGTCTGGCTAACACAAAGACCGAGACCTGCCAGTAGTTGTGCCTCCCTTTCTCATCGTCCCCCACCCTTCATCAAGTAGCCTCATCTCATCTATCTCATTTTTCTTGCTAGTACTCATCTATCTCATCTATCTCATCGTCTCTCTAGTGTATGTGTAGTACGGGGGAACTCCAACCAACCCGGATCTCTCCCCAGCCCACAGGGTAGGTTGGCACCACAGCAGTGGTGTGAGAGCAAGGCTGTACCAGTCCCTCATCATGGTGACCAGGGGTGGGCAGGCATTGCTGATGGGGGAAATCGGCAGTGCTAGCACCGAGCAATTGCCAGTCACTGCACCTCCCCCTACCCCTGCCCAAACCCCACATGGCGGTGTCTAATGGCCAATATTGTCGCTGCATAGCAACCAACAACATCAGCCATTCACAAGTCCCGGGGAAGGAAGACCATCGACCCAACGAAAAGCGGCAAATGGACTGCAGGCTGACACCACAGACCCTGAATTCCTTTACAAATGATTTACCCCCTCCTCCCCGGGTCCCTGCTATGCCCGCGATTTTCCCTGCGTGTCTCTCCAGACAGTTCTGTGCGATCACCGGTCCGCCGCCGTCCTGGCTGCGCCCCCACGCCCTAGCGTGGTATCAGTGCTTTCTCGACGCTCGAAGCTGGACGTGTGGGTGCAGAAGTGCAGAAAAAAAATCACATTGAATTTCTTTAACCCCACATCTCCACAAACACGTCCAGATGAGGGCGTTGAGAAAACTATATGCTCCTTGTGGAACGTGGCCCCCGTGGTGGCGGTGGGTGCTACTCTGTCCTCGCACATGAACACGCAACAGATGGACACGGAACAGAATTCACCCCGATAATACTTGCATCTGACAAAAAACATCAAATGTCTACATTCTTTGTCGGGAGCGTTCTGTCCGTGTGTGTGTGTGTGTGTGTGTGTGTGTGTGTGTGTGTGTGTGTGTGTG